GTATACAAAGGACTGAAAGCCAGTATACAAAGGACTGAAAGCCAGTATACAAAGGACTGAAAGCCAGTATACAAAGGACTGAAAGCCAGTATAAAAGGACTGAAAGCCAGTATTCAAAGGACTGAAAGTCAGTATACAACGGACTGAAAGTCAGTATACAAAGGACTGAAAGCCAGTATACAAAGGACTGAAAGCCAGTATACAAAGGACTGAAAGCCAGTATACAAAGGACTGAAAGCCGGCATACAAAGGACTGAAAGCCGATATACAAAGAACTGAAAGCCGGTATACACAGGACTGAAAGCCGGTATACAAAGGACTGAAAGCCGGTATACACAGGACTGAAAGCCGGTATACAAAGGACTGAAACCCGGTATACACAGGACTGAAAGCCGGTATACACAGGACTGAAAGCCGGTATACACAGGACTGAAAGCCAGTATACAAAGGACTGAAAGCCGGTATACACAGGACTGAAAGCCAGTATACAAAGGACTGAAAGCCAGTATACAAATTAAAACGATACCAAAGATGGTGACAAACAATATTCAATGGAATTACACAATTACCTTGATATAAAAATACAAGATCAAACATGCACGATTAAGAACTATTTAAACTTACAGCTCAGCAAGTGAAGGAGTATAACACGAGAAAGGTACAGATATTAATCCACACACACACCCGGTGAAAAAGATTGTCAGTCTTGTAGGGCTACTGTGCGTCTGATTTGTCTCGGAAGTCTGATAAGTCTCGTAAGTCTGCCGGCCACAGTCGACCGTCATCTTTACTGTAAGTAATCAGAACCCTCCAAAACAGAAGGTCTAGAAATTCAATCGTCAGAGAGCACTTGAAAAGCACGTGTCACCAAGTTAATTGGTGATGACAGCAACTAAAACTAAGGGGGAGACAAGCTGTGCTCGCCACAGCTCAACACAACGCAGGGTGAACAACAACAAAAAAATTGGGTCAACACACAGGCTATAACAAAAAAAAAATATTCATAGGGCTTATTGGCACAGTGAAACCTGTAAATAACGAACCTGAAATGGTGCTATCCATGGATCATGAGCTACCTATCAACTATAACTTCTCTTCAGATAATAAATTTAACTACATAAAATATAGTTCTTATTGTAAGGAGTTTCAATTATAAAATTGTATTAAGTTCGTGTTCAGTACACATTATATTACACTGGCTGCTTTTTGCGTGTAATTTCAGAATGGGGAAAATTGGTTTTTAAAAAGGGACAACCGAAGTCTGAAGTCCCTTTGTTTTATAGCTGGCCTGGTGCTTGACAGCGCGAAAAGCCAAAATGTTTGAGCTGTTGAAACAGATTCATTACTTTTCGAACCTGGTGTTATGAAACATCTGGTTACCGTTGTAGATGGACCCAGACACGCAGCGCCATTCGCACCCGGGTACCATTGGATTCAAGCTATTCGGATTTTAATTTGTAGTTGTTTATTTTAGTTAAACTGAAGAAGTAAGTTTCCAAACATATAGTCCATTCAATTATCTTTCATTTGATACCTCACTATGTCCAATAGATTTTAAATAGTTTTTTAATCCCAACCTCTCACTTCTGGTACCCGGGTTCAAATTGCAAATAGTCGCAGCCTTAAAAGAAATAAAAAAGTATATAGTTGCCATGACAACGGCGGCCGTCTTGAAAATGACAATACAATTTTTAAAATAAAAAAAATACATATTGCTTTGAAAATGATTGCTTCATTAACTTCAAGTATATTTAGAGATACTGAACTAATTTAATTTCCTTCAAACTTTTTAAAACATTTTTGTAAAATGATTTTAATTTGCCTTGGCAGAAAACGCTTAAAATTTATCATCCTTGGAAATTATATTTTTAAAATGTATTATAAAAAATATAATTATAATTGACCAAGCTGCCCTTTTTTTGTGTATAGCTCATAACCCACAAAATAGATCAAGGAAGATACACAACACATTTGATTACTCTAGTTTGTATATTAGATGAGGTTTAAGAATTCTACGTTAAAACACAACAGAAAAAAAGTGTTGAGGAAAACTTGATATGGTTGTGGGTTAAATTTAGGTGGCCTTTGATATGGTTGTGGGTTAAATTTAGGTGGCCCTTGATTTCGTTATGGGTTAAATTTAGGTGGCCCTTGATTTGGTTGTGGGTTAAATTTAGGTGGTCCTTGATTTGGTTGTGTGTTAAATTTAGGTGACCCTTGATTTTGTTGTGTGTTAAATTTAGGGTGCCCCTGATTTGGTTGTGTGTTAAATTTAGGTGGCCCTTGATTTGGTTGTGCATATACAAATAGGGGATTTATTTATACAAATAATTTATCTTTAGTCGATACTAAATACTAAAATTGTTTCATCACTTTTATTTCTTTTTAACGCACTGATGACGGGTATATATTTTGTCGAAAGAAGTGTTACGAACACTCCCAGAATAATAATTTACTATTTATTACCGCTTTATATATTTGACCAAATGCGTCACATATTTATTGATGTGTGATTGATCTAAGAAAAGTTGAAGCGTTATAAATTTCCCAAAAGTTGAATAGTTTAAAAGTGAAAGGTTTAGTTTGAATTTCAAACGATTGTTATTATAATCTCCTGCAGTTAAATTACTAATTAACTTACATTAACATTGCGCATGTCGTAATATATATATTTTTTTTACTTGAACATTACCCCAACCCATCCCCTTTTTTCTTCACACACAAAATACCTGGATTTTTTCACCTTTTTTTAAAAACTTTTACCAAAAAACTTAATTGGTTTGAAAACCGAAAATTAGTTCGCTAAACATGTTTCCCGCTGCACCTTTAGATTAAGAACAATTTAATGTAACTGCCCCGTGTGCCCATGGCTTAAGAACAATTTAATGTAACTGCCACGTGTGCCCATGGCTTAAGAACAATTTAATGTAACTGCGCCGTGTGCCCATGGCTTAAGAACAATTTAAATTTAAGTTGTCCAGATGTAACTGTCCATTGTGCCCATGGATTAAGATCAATTTAAGTTGTCAAGATGTAACTGCCCTGTGTGCCCATGGCTTAAGAACAATTTAAGTTGTCAAGATGTAACTGCCGTGTGTGCCCATGGCTTAAGAACAATTTAAGTTGTCGAGATGTAACTGCCGTCTGTGTCCATTGCTTAAGAACAATTTAAGTTGTCAAGATGTAACTGCCCTGTGTGCCCATGGCTTAAGAACAAAACAAGTTAAGTTGTCGAGATGTAACTGCGCCGTGTGCCCATGCCTTAAGAACAATTTAAGTTGTCGAGATGTAACTGCCATGTGTGCCCATGGCTTAAGAACAAAACAAGTTAAGTTATCGAGATGTAACTGCCCCGTGTGCCCATGGCTTAAAATCAATTTAAGTTGTCAAGATGTAACTGCCCTGTGTGCCCATGGGTTAAGAACAAAACAAGTTAAGTTGTCGAGATGTAACTGCCCCGTGTGCTCATGGCTTAAGAAGAAAACAAGTTAAGTTGTCAGATGTAACTGCCCTGTGTGCCCATGGCTTAAGAACAAAACATTTTAAGTTGTCGATATGTACTGCCCTGTGTGCCCATGGCTTAAGAACAAAACAAGTTAAGTTGTCGAGATGTAACTGCCCTGTGTGCCCATGGCTTAAGAACAAAACAAGTTGAGTTGTCGAGATGTAACTGCCATTTGTGCCCATGGCTTAAGAACAAAACACTTTAAGTTGTCGAGATGTAACTGCCCTGTGTGCCCATGGCTTAAGAACAAGTTAAGTTGTCAGATGTAACTGCCCTGTGCGCCCGCATGGCTTAAAAGAACAATTTAAGTTGTCGAGATGTAACTGCCGTGTGTGCCCTGTGTGCCCATGGCAAAAGATGGCAGTGAATGTTTTATTCTACGAAGAACATATTTCGGTGTCTCTGTCCATTTTCTTCGTGGGACTCATTGGGTATAAGAAAAGAAAGCACCATCCCGGGAGGCAAACTGCCAGCCGTGCCTGTGTCCTTAGTAGACATTCTGGACTCAATGATGACGTCACAGAACAAACAACAAAAAGCAGTGAATGGGAAGTTGTACGACACCACGCTTAAAGACGGTCATTACGAGTGGGAGTCACTGAGCATCCATATACATTCCTGACTTTACTAGCAGCTTAGGATAGAGAGGAATAGGGCAAGGGGGGGGGGGGGGCACCCGTTGCTGTTAAGACGGCACTCTTATGTCAATGTAATTAGGAACGCTTTGTTAAACAAACGTTTGATCATACATACCGGTACGACTGACCCGAGCAGTCTTTGAATTGTTTAACTTTGCCTGGAGTTTTCTGTCTCTCCTTCTTGCATAACGGTATGAGTTGGAAGACATCAGTGACGCTTAGCTAAATAAGAGAGGAGTGTCAAGACTTATGACTAACTTAAATAAAACGAAAGTTATTTTTAGAACACAAAAAATATTCAACAGCATTTTTTCCCCCTTCTTTCTACCGGATTAAACCATTCCTCACGGCCGCATATGAACGCTGGTCGATCAAAATAAATTGCTTAAAATTAAAATTTCCAGACAGTCACCAACAATTGCAAACATCAGGGCCCTGATGACCAATATCTTGGTAAAACTCCATTTTTAAATGGGGGAACTCTTGCTAAGTGTTCACAGATCGGCATTCCTCGACGTGGTGTGTTTTCCCTAATGTAACCATGTTTAACCTTAAGAGTAAAAGTCTAACAAACTAGTGTTCCTTGAAAGTTGACTTTTCATCGTTTCAGACAAGAGAATTTCATGAAACTGGCTGGATTAAACTTCAATGGATAGAAATGGATAACATCTAAGACATGAAAAGATGTGAATCATTAACCTTATTTAATGTTCTGTGATAGAAAATGAACGCCAGGATAAATATTAATGTAAATAACTAATTAAAAATAGCATGGATATCATTAGCTAATTTTATTTATTTGTTTGGATCCCATGCTACTCAAACAATGTCTAACCATTTATGTTTTCTGACTAGCCATGAAATGTACCAATATAAACATTTAAACCCATTTAAAAACTTCTGCACTGATAATGACGTCATAAACAGCTGTTGACATTAATTTTTCAAAATGCAAGGAGATAAAAGTTGTTTAGTGCCAGCTGAGAAATGTTCTTAGAGATTATATTAGAAGTCTATGAATGACTTGACCTTTGACAGCCCCATCCCCCAAACAAAGAATGATAAAAGATAAAGCTTGAGAAGTCCACTAGTTAAATAAAGACACAATGGATTCATGGATACATATTTACATATATGTTTCTATTTAATTCTTCATTCTTTTAAAGTGATTGTATAAAAATGTATGTCACATCTAAAAGGAAACCATAAACCATGAGAAATGTGAATACATAAAGTATTTTAAGTAATGCCAAAAATGTCAAACAGGATCAGAAAATCTTCTCTTTCTGTCATTTTGATGTGCCCTTTCTATGATACTATAAAACATCAATCATTGTTAGGACAGCATTGAGAAAGATTGATCTGTTCAAGAATATAATATTATGATAGTAATAATCTTATATAAAAAACCACAACGACATTGAACATTTACAAAAGCGAACATTCCGACATGTGCACATATGAATCTAATCACCATCAGTTGGACTTGATCACCAGACCTTTTTTTTTAAAGTGGACATCAGGAAATAAAAAGCATATTGTTTATCCACAACAACTGAAGAATTTAACCCTGAACGCTTACAAACATTACATAACTTTAACACAAAAAAATGTCTTTGCTGTCTCAAGCTACTTTGGCAATAATCAAAAAGATGTTCAAGAAAGTAAAGAATACAAACTTAATACAGAAATGTTGGCAGAAGAACTTGATTAGAATTTAAGGGTTAGTCAAAAAGGCCTTTTCTACAGTGAAAAAATGAAAATTCATTCTAACTACAATAGCTTTCACCTTCGCACCCTTTAATGTTTTATTTGTTTTTTATAAAGGTTTAGCAGATTGTAACAGTTGTACTTTATTGAATTTGTAATCGTTTTTTTTGTTGAACGCCTGATGCGGTCCAGTCTTGATCAGACTTTACTTCCCGCGGCCCCCGGATGATTCGAGTTTGAGACCCCTGTTATAAACTCTTAATAATGCTTTGTTGGTGCTTGATACAAATAACAATTATTAACATTTTTAATGAGCATATTCCTAGAAAGATTAAGTCCACCCAATCAGTTACACCACTGGTTCTCAACCCTCAGAATGAAGCGACTTTTTAATACAGTTCCTCATGTTGTGGTGACCCCCAGCCATAAAATTATTGTCGTTGCTACTTCATAAACATTTGTTTTCGGATGGTCTCAGGCGACCCCTGTGTAAAGGTCGTTTGACTCCCCAAAGAGATACTGACCCACAGGCTGAGAACCGCTGACTTACAAAAATCTATGATCATCAATGTTGAAGGGTCTGAATAATTTATCAAAATATCATTTATTAAAAATATGTGGATAATTTCCATAGTAGCAGGCTTATAAAAACAATAGGGGAGACAACTAATAGATGATATGGGAGGAAACTTCAATAGGACTTAAAAAAACAAGAAATATTAAGCACAATGAAGTCCAAGCTTGAAATGGGACACAACAAAATAACAGCTTTCGTCCCACTGCATGCTGTGACAAACATTGAGCTTGATATTACTTTTACAAATGCCATAGATTTTTTATTTATTTCAAAACATACCATCAAATGGACAAAACTGACCATCAAATGCACAACATGATTGTTACCTAAATGACATTAGAAATGCTTTCTCTTGAACATTTTTTTTTAAAGGTTTTAAACTTGTAACTGTTTTTTCTCCTAATCAGTTTCCTGATTGTCTCTCCTGCTCCAAGCACTTGGCAATTGTGTTCAGTTGAATATTGCTTGTTCCTTCATATATTGTACCTAGGAGATTGAAAGAATGTACAAATCAAGGGATGTAGTCAATGTCGAGCTATGTACCAAGGAATGTAGTCAATGTCAAGCTATGTTCCAAGGTATGTAGTCAATGTCAAGCTATGTTCCAAGGAATGTAGCCAATGTTGAGCTATGTACCAAGGGATGTAGTCAATGTCAAGCTATGTTCCAAGGGATGTAGTCAATGTCGAGCAAAGTACCAAGGGATGTAGTCAATGTCAAGCTATGTTCCAAGGGATGTAGCCAATGTTGAGCTATGTACCAAGGGATGTAGTCAATGTCAAGCTATGTTCCAAGGGATGTAGTCAATGTCGAGCAAAGTACCAAGGGATGTAGTCAATGTCAAGCTATGTTCCAAGGGATGTAGCCAATGTTGAGCTATGTACCAAGGGATGTAGTCAATGTCAAGCTATGTTCCAAGGGATGTAGTCAATGTCGAGCAAAGTACCAAGGGATGTAGTCAATGTCAAGCTATGTACCAAGGGATGTAGCCAATGTCGAGTAAAGTACCAAGGGAAGTAGTCAATGTCAATCTATGTTCCAAGGGATGTAGTCAATGCCAAGCTAAGTACCAAGGGATTTAGTCAATGTCAAGCTAAGTACCAAGGGATGTAGCAAATGTCAAGCAAAGTTAAATCAAGGGTTGTAGTCAATGTCATGCCAAGTTCAACTAACTCTGCTCTAAATTCAATGACTTTTATCCGCCTCACCAATTTTACAATCTCTGTAGTACTTTTCCACTGGATAATCTCTGGTGAAGCCGACCCCACCCATCCATTCAATACTTTTAGAAGTTGTCAGTGTAGCAACCTTAAAGTGAATATAAATATATATCATCTTCACCTTCATAGATATAACATATTTATATAATATATATATGAATAGCATAGAATATGAAAGATTTTTAATTAGAAAAGAAAATATTTCCATAAGTGATTTTTCAATTCTACTGGTACAGGGATTTTCTTTAAATGGTTTGGTGTAGGGGGGGGGGGAGAATTCTCTTTCAGTTGATTTACAAATCACATAAGAATGACAAAGGGAATAATGTAGTTGGGTTTTTAAAAAAAAATGTCATAAGATTTCTTCTATCTGTGGATCCAAATACATTAAAGTTGTATTATGTAGCATGTGGACCAACAAAAAAAAGAATTAAAATATATATTAACAACAAATTTTTTTAATAAGATTTTGTTTAATTTTTTTTTAAAAATCAGTTTGAGCACCTCAGATGCAAAATATTTAGCCATTGCTGCTTCCTTGACTACCGACAAGCCCATCTGATGGCGCCTGGCAGCATTGCACATCATCACCTTGCCAAGTTGAATCTGGGTAGCAACATGTGCTATTTGGTGTTGCATTCCCTGAAAACAAACATTTTTAAAAATTGTAATTAATAGTAGGCCCCTTCTTACCATCTCACACCAGATTAAATCCTTTCAATTCTACAAAACAAGTCTCTAAAAAAAAATGGTTTGATTCAATAATTTCATTTTAAAACTTGTAGAAATAGTTTCCAATCATATTTGGTTTTAAATTAATTTATTTCCAAATCAAGTATACCCGAAAATGGCTTGTGAAGAAAAATAATTATGTTTTCAAACCATATATCATTTACCCTGGACCTCAAAACCATGGTAGCCGGCCATAACTTTTATTTCAATCCATTGTTTTAAACAAATGTTTTAGTCCTGAATGATCTTGATTCTTTTAAAATTAGAAACAAATATGACCTGAAAATCAAATATTCGCTTCCCGAATTGTTTCCTCTCTCTGGTGTAGTCCACTGCATGATTGAAACAGCCTTGCGCCAGGCCAAGCATCTGTAGATATAATGGTAGAAAAATAAAGTTTGGTAGTACATCCCTCTCTCTTCACAGCAAGCCAAAGAGATTAGTACCATCCTGGGCTGAGGAGAACATAATATCCCAGCGAGTGTGAAGGTGTATTTGTCAAGGAAACTGTTCCTTTTGTGTAATATTGCACATCCGCAATATACTGACCATCACAGCCTTCAAAACTGCACTCAAAACACATCTTTTTAAACTCTGATATCCTGACTAATTCCCACCTCTGACCGAAAAACGATGCCCCTGGGGGTCGTCCATGGCTTGACTGAGTGTCGCCCATGGCTTGACTGAGTGCCGTCCATGGCTTGACTGAGTGCCATCCATGGCTTGACTGAGTGCCGTCCATGGCTTGACTGAGTGCCGTCCATGGCTTGACTGAGTGCCGTCCATGGCTTGACTGAGTGCCGTCCATGGCTTGACTGAGTGCCGTCCATGGCTTGACTGAGTGTCGTCCATGGCTTGACTGAGTGCCGTCCATGGCTTGACTGAGTGCCGTCCATGGCTTGACTGAGTGCCGTCCATGGCTTGACTGAGTGCCGTCCATGGCTTGACTGAGTGCCGTCCATGGCTTGACTGAGTGTCGTCCATGGCTTGACATGGAAATAGTTTTAAATATACATTTGTTTTGTTTTATTCAATTAATGTATTTTAATTATTTTTTAAAGTTTTTGATTATGTTTGTTAAATTGTATGTACAGCGTGGTGAGCCCATCCCTAGGCGGGTTACCACGCAATATAAAAACCACTTATAATAATAATGCGTGGAATGAAAGTATGGGGTTTCCTTTCAATCCATTCCTGCCCACAACACCAAGCTTTTCAACAGAGCTATGGAGTAAAAAAATTAGGTTGTTGGGGCAACAATGAGTCTCAGCCCACCATATTTTAGGTACATTTGTTGGTTTGTTGCAGAGCAATGACTAACATATAAAATATTACCTGTGCAGCGATGCCTATTCTTCCACTATTCAACATTTCAATAGCATACTTGTAACCTTTTCCAAACTCTCCAAGAATATTGTCAGCAGGTACCTGTAATTAATAATTTTATGCAATATTAATGTCAACAAGAAATATATTTTATAACAGTCTTGCTGTCTTCCTCCCAACAATAGATCTAAAAGTTTTTCTTATCCATGACAATATATTATCTTTAACAATTCTGTTCATTGATTGCACAGAGCAGTGGTTCACAGCTCCAAGTGCCACTTCTCAGAAACTCAGGGGCGGCCAAGCCTTAAAGGTCAGCCTATCAGGAGGGGGAGCCAATCAAGGAGGGGCGGTCAATCCAGGAGTGGCGGCCAATCTATGAGGGGAAAGCACTCCAGGAAACTCCTAAAAACTTTTAACTTGTAAAACAAAGCGTAGAGCTAAGGGACTCCCCCATAGAAATCGATTCTAGAAAGGGCCCTGTGGGTCATAAAGGTTGGGAACCACTGATATAGAGTAACAACAAGATAGTAAAGTGGGAATATGCAAAACATTTAAATTAAGAAAGTAACACATAGAAGCTTTAAGTATCCAAATAAATTGAAAATACTTTTAACAAAATCTTTTATGGATGTCCCAGAGAAACTTACCTTGACATTGTCAAATGAGACAGAGCAAGTACTGGATGCTCTGATCCCCAGTTTATTCTCCTTCCTGCCCACACTAACACCTTCTGTGGCTCTGTCAACGATGAAACATGTTATTCCTTTGTAACCCTGTTGTAATAAAAATATGGGCAAACAGATCACAACACCATGGAACCCGTTTGAAGTATGTGTAAATATATATATGGTACTCAATATACAGTAGGGAAAGAAAATGCAATTGTAATCTTAAAGCAAAATTGATTGTACCAGCTCTTTGATAATTCTTTGTCAAAATCTGTGATTTTTCTGTCATAAATAACATAGCTTTATGAGACAGCAACACATGGCTCACATCTGATGGCTTAGCGTTAGCCATGACTAGAAATACACCAGCGTGTTCAGCATTCGTAATCCAGACTTTTGTCCCATTCAAAATGTAATTCTCTCCATCTTTTACGGCGGTTGTTTTTAAGGCAAATGCATCGGATCCAGAACCTGCCTCTGACAGACAGAAGCCACCAACCTGGAAACATGGTAAGAAAAGAAGAAACGTTTAAAAAATAAATAAATCGTGCGCCCCCCCCCCCTCCCCCCCGAGAAACAAAGGAAAATTCCTGTCAACTGACAGACAAAGCATGTTTTCATACAAACATGGAAACAAGGAAAGAAAAGAAGAAACGTTTAAAAAAAAAAAAAATCGCGCGCCCCCCCCCCCCTCCCCCCCGAGAAACAAAGGAAAATTCCTGTCAACTGACAGACAAAGCATGTTTTCATACAAACAGACTGATTTCAACTGATTAACAAGTGCTCAAGCGAGTACTATCCTTATTTAAGACATTTCAAAGTTGAATGCCTGCATGAAATGTAAGCCTAAATCAATAAGAGCATAAGAGTCTTACAATGACCATTATCAAACTGACCATGTCTGTTGCCAGGCGTGGAAGGTATTTCTGTTTTTGTGCTGCAGTGCCAAGTCTGACAAAGAGCATGTTGACCAGTGTGTTCTGGACATCACAAAAAACACTGACTGATGGATCCACTTTAGCCAGTTCCTCAATGACAATGGTGGAAACAAAGAAGGATGAGTTGGTTCCTCCATATTCCGCTGGAATTTCTATGCCCATCAACTTAGTGAAATTGAAAAAAAAAATATAATTAATGAATTTTAAAAAATATTTTATAGATAGGCCTGTCAAGTGTTTCTATTGTGTATATGATTGTAAACACAGGTCTGTCAAGTTTTTCTATTGTGTATATGATTGTAAACATAGTTCTATTGTGCATATGATTGTAAACACAGGCCTGTCAAGTGTTTCTAGTGTGTATATGATTGTAAACACAGGCCTGTCAAGTGTTTCTAGTGTGTATATGATTGTAAACACAGGTCTGTCAAGTGTTTCTATTTTGCATATGATTGTAAACACAGGCCTGTCAAGTGTTTCTATTGTGCATATGATAGTAAACACAGACATGTCAAGTGTTTATATTTTGTATATGATTGTAAACACAGGCCTGTCAAGTGTTTCTATTGTGCATATGATTGTAAACACATACATGTCAAGTGTTTCTATTGTGCATATGATTGTAAACATAATAATTGCAATAAAATGATGTTAAATATTTCAAAGTAAAGAGAGACAAAACAGCTCCATTCTAATATCCTACTATTAGCGACCAGATATTATCCCAAATATATTCCTTGGATCTACGAATAATACTTGTCAATTATTAAACCCAAACAGAAGATAAATTCTTCCTTGTTTTTCCTAACCCGGCTTAATTTTAAAATGTAGCTAAGCTTAAAAAATGCATGTGATGCCTGCAATAAATCTTAAATTTAAATCCTAATTATTAAGTTTTATCTATTCCATTTTATCTTTTTTTTTTACTTTTGCTTTTCAATTAGCTGCAGAAAGCTTTAGGCAGACACACACCTTGTTTAGATGGATCTATTTTAAGCTTTTAGCAGACACAAGCCTTGTTTAGACTGATCTTGTAGGTGAAGCTTTGACCTACTGTGTGTTTAATACTTCTTTATTGACAACTTGTTTGTTGTTGTTCATCAAAGCGGGTACTGTCTGCACATTGTGAGAACTTTGCAAGTGAACCTCACAAATAAAGGCTAAACTATACTGTAATAATATATCGCTCTCAAATTGATCTAAACTATAATGGAATAATTTATCTCTCTAAAATTGATCTAAACTATAATTTGAAATATGCTTTCTTTCCATCTTTTCTAAATACATTGCATTCTGTTGTGGATGCCCTAATATATATAACCCCAAGGTCAAATACGTTAACCAAAAGATCAAAAGCCTTTTATTTTGATTCTCAAAGACCTTAATATTATCATATTCTAATGAAGAAAAAAAAACTCACCTAATTATAGCATAGATACAAAAAATTTTATCACACTAAAGTGTATACAATATATACATAATATTCAGCTTATCCTTGTAGAGATACAACACACAAAATGTACAATGTTTATCTACATTTGGTAAAACTTAATGTTCAAAAGAAACTTGTTGATTGAATTAACAATTTAAATAAAGTAATCATGATGAATCATCCGTCACAGAAATATAGTAATTATGATGAATCATTAGGCACAGACACATACTAATCATGATTAATCATCGGGCACAGAAACTAGTAATCATGATGAATCACCAGAACAGAAACACAGTTATCATCCGGCACAGACTAACGAGGAAATGGCCTAGATAAAATATTTTAAAATGTCCTGGCTGCCCAGATATATCCAGTGGCTTTGAAAAAAATTGTGTTCAGTTTGCTTTATGCATTCAAATAGTCCACTTTATATTTACACAAATGATACTTCATTAAATACATTAAAAATAATTCACTTTTTTTTTTACTGTAGGCCAGCCTCTTTGTTTATGGAATTTAATTAAGGACTTAAGGACATCCTTCTCCTTATCTCATGACTTTTCTCATAAAGCAGGCCTGCACAACATACGGCCCGCGGGCACTCTCTTTGCGGCCCGCGAAATAACGAAATATTTTTTTATTCTTATTATTTTCTTAATAGCTTTCCCCATGTCCTATATTCTTTTGGCCCGCAGAAATCTTGTCCTACTTTCTTTTGGCCCGCACAAGTTTTTCATAAAGTATTTAGGCCCGCCTTACATTTTGATTCGTGCAGGCCTGTCATAAAGCATTTGAAGTTCAACCTCTTTGGTCTTGGCTAAGGTAATTATACTGACTACATCTGCTTCCAATTTTTATTATTTTTTTCTCACGGATTTCAACTCCTGCACTTAATCTTTTTTGACTCAAGCAGAATATATTTTCCTTTTTTCTGCTTTTCAAAATACTAGGTTTATTTCATCCTTGCCGTTGATGCAAAATTCAACAACTCTTTTGTTATGGGAACTTTATGAAGTCCAGTTCTTCTGACAGTGGTCTCTTGATTCACAGAACACCTCTTTCTGCAGTCGCTTGGCCATAGGATAACAGAGGGAAATTTCTGAACAATAAACTAATTTTTATAGTGGAAAGCTGAGTAGAAAAATTCAATTCATCAAGCGTACTCTCAGAAGGGGAGAAACTTCTGTGTTTTAATGAAGTAGCTTTGATACCCAGCCAGGACATATTTTACTAGTGGATAAATGATGGGATATTTTTAAATTATCTTCTTTAAAGTGGAAATTAAAAATGCCTTGCAGTCTGTTTTAAAAACTGAACTTTTGCCTGTCTGATAGGTCTTTGCTCAGCAAAAGCTTGGTGGCAGAAAATCCAACATTCGCTTGTATCCATGTGATTATTTTTCTCGAAAAAAGCTATGTTTGATATAGCTGTGATGGATTTGGCCACTGATATTAACTCTGGTTTGATAAACCTTGACTTAAGAGATTGAACCAAGCTTCCAAGGTGTGATGCTACAAATGGCAGAATAGGTTGGTCTGATTGGTAAAACTTAAGAAATGGTTGTAATTCTCAAGCAACCCTTATGAAGAAGTGCAGCTTTGCCTTTAAGAGAGGATCATCTAATCAGGATTCTCCAAGATGGCTTAGGAAGGGTTTTGCTTTTAACAGCCTTTACATAGATTTACAGATTTGGCAGCATCAGGATGGCTCTTTCAGCTGGCTCAATATTTTCAAGCCACCTGCAATTAATAAAAAGCTTTGTTAGAATGTCAAAATGAAAGATTAAATACAATAGGAATCTGTTTTTAAAAGTCTGTTTTCTATATTATTAAATAGCTTTATGAATCTAAAGTTATTACCTGTGCTTGCAATACACAAGTGGAAATACACCAGTATCTGTGATGGTTGTAAAATCTCTTCTAGCAGGGCTATTATAAAATAGGTTATACATACTGATAAGCACATTTTCTTTGTCTCAGGAGTCTGCAGTACATCCCTTACAGAAAGCATTGTGTAAAATAAGTAGCCCACAATTCCCTATGTTTAATATGTTAAATGAGCCAGATCGGTCAGTTTCTATTTCTAACATTTAAACAGTTTCAAGTTCACTGCAGGGCCACCCATAGACAGTTGTAAAAAGCAATTATGTCAAAGATCTGTGATAATCTGGATGAATTTCCAACAAGCTTTCAGCAGTGGCATGTCTAAGAAAATGGGATGAGTGGACAAATGAACTAACTATATTTACATCCCAGATGCGAGCATAAATATAAATTTGCCTTTCCTGAATCTGTTTGTTAATTGTTTCATAAGAACATAAGTAGAAGCTGCTCTTACATTTTTAAAGGCATATCAGCAAAGTAGGGTGCTATAACAAAAATGCTGAGATATGCAGATTTTTTACCAGTACATGCAAACTGTTGTGCTACTACACAAGTAGGAACATGGCCTTGAAACAATCTGCAGTGTCTTTAGAAGAATTCAAGCGGTAATGGCTATTTAGACATTTCATTATCCAAATAAGTTCAGTGGTAAGCACTTCCGTCTTTGTGCAGAAAGACTGAATATTAACAGGTTTTGTTGTTGAGCCCTAGCTATGAGAGGCCCTTGATGTTGATAGTACTGGGTCAGCATTATTAGTTGTATTTAAATACTCAGTGATAGCAGCTTTCTCATTCTGAATGTGATTTTTTTCTAAATATAATAAACAACAAATTATTACATTATAGTTATTCCTGATATAATTATAACTATCCCAATTAATCACTTATTAAAATTAACTGGTAGCCTTAATCCTGGATGAAATTTATGTAATCACCGAATGAGTAGCTAAATTAAATAAATTATAGAAAGGAAATTGGAAAAGAATAGGTATCCTGATATAATGTTATTAATCGCAATTAATCTCATTTTAAAATAAACTCGTAGCCTTAAGTCCGGATAAAATAGTTTTTAGTAGTACTCGTAGCCAAATTATTAGCTTATTTAAATAATTATAGAAAATAAACCTGAAAACAGTCAGTAAAATTTACATTTTATATCACATAATTTTTACTTAACTAAGTAAATAGGTTTGTGTTACTGCAGCTTACCCTTTGCATGGCTGTTCAGGTCTCCTTCACCCATCAATGAAATATTGATGTTTTGTTGATAAACATTGCATTAGGTTTCCCTCTTGTCATCTGCTAAATGTTTTAGAGCCAAAACTTGTATTCTGACTTATCGAGCCATGTATCATTAAAAGAAAAAACTCCAGGCATATTTAATATTGTAAACTGTCCCACAGATTTGAAGCATTTCAATAGAAAATTCATGTGTGTGTCGCTATTCCAAATAAAAAATTATAACGAAGGCCTACACGTTTTACAAAAGAACATGTAGCACTAGTCAAAACAGATGAAGCTACAACATGATCCGATCGATTACTTGTTAAGATTGATTTGACTGACTTAAAGTAATCTACCAACCATCAACAAATTTCTTTCTTGCAAGTTTAGGGCTCATTAAGAAAAATGGAATGTGCATGTCAGTTAACTGGAGACATGTGGGGTTTTTTTTCTTTCCAATTTGTTTATTAATCAATTTTCTAAAACTTTCAAAAACCATCCCCATTTTGCCAATTTTCTCAAACTTTACAGGCCTTGGACATTAAAAAAAAAATATTCGCGAACCTTCAAAAACCGTGCGAACCCTGCACCAAAGTCACAGTACACCAACCAATAAGCTGCGCAATTAATAAAACAATGTTTTTGCGAGGAAAGATACATTAAAAAAGAGAGATTAAGTGACGAATACATACTCCATTTTGAAAAAGTTCTTGAATAACCTCTGATTTCATTGTACTAGTTTCATCCATTTCTGCCACATGTTTTTGTATTTTCTCTAAAGCCAATCTTGACACTGAAAGAAAGATTTTATAAAATATTTAAAGTATTAAAGATAGCAGTAAATAAATTAATATCCCATTTGTTTTTCTGCACATTTTCAAAACAACATAATTTTAAAAAGTGAATTATATTTCAATTAAAAGTTTCAATCACTAAATAACCCTTTCTTTCAAGATATAAACTGATCAAATCCTAAAATAGTCACAGTCACATGCATGAATTAATCATTTTACAAGACTATGCTAAAGCCGCAATAACAAAAAGTTTAAGAATTCATACAACAAAGTTATTAACAATATTTTACAAATGCAATACATTATCATAAAAGGTCCCATTTTATAATTATACTGCATATACAAATATTTGCAATATTTTGTACATTAATATCTTGAGAATTTGTTTCACCCTTGTGTGGCTACCAAAGAGTATATACCATAGAATACTAAATAAAACATGTTTATCGAACATGTACACATAAACTATAATTCACCTGTGTCTTTCATCATCTGCTCCTCTGGAGAAAGTAAGTCTGCTGGGAGATGCTGAGATGTTGCTCTGTTTTGGGAGTCCTCAGAATCCAGTGCTGGCCGGGCACCATTTGTGTACTTAATATTTTTGCAAGCAAATAAAACATTTTTGGCTCTTGATGTGGCCTGTAAAAAAAAGGAATTTTAAAGAATATTAAAATAACATAAACAACTGTACAATTCTTTTTATTACAGCATGCATTGATTTTCTGGAGGAGAACAAATTTCATAGACTAAATAATTGCCACGGTATCAAGTTACCACCATCCAGTCCAGTATCAGTGATCAGTGAGTTACCTACGCACTGTACAGCATCGTCCAGCATCGAATTACCTACAACTACAAACTGTCCAGTATCTGCAATGATACTGAGAATGAAAATTTGTGTAGTGCCTCTGCTCACAAGGTAGAGTTTATGGTTAACTCTAACTATAACATATTACTGAGTGTGATACAGGATTATTAATTGGTCCGTCTGTATTGACAACAGCATTGACATCCCATTGTAGTAAGCAAAGGGGACAAATGATAGGGGACATAAAGGTGAATTGTTTAATTTTGTGGAGGTGAGTGTAATCTCAGAGGTGGGTGTAAGAGAGGACATCTTTTTTAATGAATTTTTGTGATGCATTTGAATTATTATGTAATATGAGCCAGGGTTGCTCTAATTTTGAGAGCCTTGCATGTTCCAAAGCTAAGCTAGACAAAAATTTAATGTCATGGCTTAATCTCTTTGCATGGAACAAAATTTTGATAAAGTTATATAATAATAAGGCATCCTTCCGTCTTCGTGAGACGATGGAGTAGCTATATAGTTCTACACTTTGACGAGTGGCTCACTAGGCAAGTCCTAGAATGGTAATCACGGCCGCATCTATCGCAGGAGAATGTTGAATCCCGGTAAATTCTTGATTTTAGAATTGTTCTTTTTGATTCGAGTGCCTCGTTTCGAGTAACTTCTGCCTTTTTCACTCCTTCAAACACTGCTGTACGCCAGTTGGAGCGATGTTTGGCAATGAACTCCCATTTGTTTGTTTCAATATTGGCTTCCCTCATGCTTCGTTTGCAAACTTTAATAAATCTCAGGCGCGGTCGTCCAATATGTCTTGTCCCATCTGCCAACTCTCCATACAGCAGTATCTTTGGGATACGTCCTTCCTCCATTCTCCGTACATGACCTAACCAGCGAAGGCGTCTCTTGATAAGAAAGGAGAATATGCTAAACATGTGTGCACGTTCCAAAACCTCCACGTTAGGCACCCTGTCCTGCCAACGAATGCGCAAAATGCGACGCAGACATCTTTGATAAGTTATATAGGCTAAATAAAAGTTAAAATTAAAGTTAAAGAGAGCTATATTAGTATTAGCTCTAAGACTAATGAATGTGTAGTGCGTTTTGACTTTGATGTTGTCCAGGAGGTGAGTTTTAGTTTTAAATTACATGATTATTTGCCTTTGAGAGGTGAGATTTGTTTTTATTGTTAATAATAAATCATGTATAAGTGTTAAAAAGTTATGAGCTTTAAGTTTAAGCATATGTATATTATGAGCTATTCATTGTTGATACTATCTGTGACTACTAATAAGTAGTATGATACTATTATATTACTATGACTATGAGCCTGGCAATCATGTTGAGTATGATATGATACTGTATGAGACTATGAGTATGAGAATGAGAATGAGAGTCGAGAGTGCTGTTGTCAACAGTCAGACCTTCATCATTACAAATGCTAGCCTAAATTATAAATAAACTAAATACTAAACGCATATAATTTATAATAATTCAGAATATATAAACTTTTGAAAAACTTTTCGATGTTTAAAATTATAAAATATACGTACCCGAATTGTACAATTCCTAAACAAGGACGAAAACATTTTTTATTTCGTGTTCTGTCAAATTAGTCAAATACAAAGTCTACTTTTTTCTAACTTTAGTCTCACCTATTTAAACATTACAAATAAATATCATGAAAGTTCAGAGTACAAATCAAGGCCAAATACACCTAGAATTTTATAAGCTTCTTGCTTTTCTTAAAAAGACTGAATAGCCATTCATTTTTTTTATATTCGAAAGCCTATTAATTTTCCAGCCATCGTTAAAAAAAAGGAAAAATAATAATAATAAATCTAATTTTTTAAAACTGTTATTTATGTTAAAACGTTTTTACGGTACTTAGAGACATTTTTACAACTGTTTACAAATGGCGGCCAATGAGAGGGAAAATATGTTTTCTGAAACAGATTCTAGCTTGATTTCAGAACCTTCTTCAATTTCATCTGTATGCTCCAATAATTCAAATGGCACTTCACTACCCAGTTACTTGATTGTTCAAAGACAATTAGCAGATGTAATAATTACCCAGCGCGTGGCTGTGCAACAACTTGTACAAAATAATGTTAGTTGATGTTCTGTTCTGTAGGTACTTGAATACAAATATAAAAAAAATTGAAATAATTTTTTTAATAATACATTTTCATTTAGTTAGAGCAAATTTCAAATAAAAAAATGAAACCAGAATCAACTTTTTAGCTTAAGTACTTTTTGAGCTATGAATTTTTAAAGTGTGAGTTCGTTTGGTATTTTTTTACTATGGTAGATACTTTGGTCAAAAATGTAAACATTTTTTAAAAATAAACCAATGGCACAGTTGAATAGAGCTAATTTTAAACAGAATTATAACACCAAAATCATATTTTTAGCTGTTGTAGTTTTAAAGTTATGAATTTTTAAAGTACGACTTGGTTTGTCATTTTTTAACATGGACTGCATCTCCATATTCTGTGACCTCATTCCACTGATCGTGTCATGCGCAATGTATATATAGTTTATATAAGGCAACGCATTCCCTATCGCTAAAATACTGTTTAGGGTCGACTTATTTTAAACTTTCAACTTTGGCACATGAATAATTAATAAAAGCTTTCCCTGACCAATGGTTTAATAGCTTTTGCACACGGCAAACTCTTATGAATGAAACTCTGAGATAGTACTACGACGTAGCCGTTATGCAAGTGGCTGTGAATGGAACGGTTACTGTTGCACAACGTGTCCCTTTTAAGACTAGTAAATTAATATGGACTCTGCAGGGTTTTTAAAGCTCAAATTAAAACATTTCCAGTTTAAATGTCTTCAAAATGCATTCTGAAACACAAAATATAAAATATTCTGATGTATATATTGGTAATAATTAAATATTTCCTAAGTATCGGCAACTTCCGCCATTAAAAAGGGGGCGTGGCCCACGCCATGTCGAAATTAGGCTGAGCCACCTTATGGTGGTATGGGTCACTGTGACAAGTGTAACACACGTGAGACATGACCTACATCAATGAAACTTGGCACAGATATAGATCAATATCTAATGCTCATACAGATTTAATCAAAAAGGACCTTATCTTATTATTTCACAAAAAATTTTGTATGCGAAGATGCCTTATATATACCAAAGATTTTCAAAATAAAGGTCGATTGAAAAAAGCAAAATAGATGGCTAGAAATGTAGGCCAAGATGTCCTCCAAATTATAAGGCCGGAAACGGAACTCAAATATATGTGGAAAGAAGTAATTTAATAATAAATAGAGACACACATCGGAAAATTAAAAACTCGGATTTTTCGGCGCCGACGCCCATTTCCGATACAAAAAAATAGTAGTCTCCCTTGTTTCATCGAAGTATCTAGCTATGGCATGGCTATGAACGAAACCTCCACATCTTGTGACCTCATTCCGCTGATAGCGTAATGCGCAATGACTATATTCTTTTTATAAGGCAACCCATCCCCTATCACTAAAATACTGTTTAGGGTCGACTTAGTTTAAACTTTTCAACTTTAATTAACTAATTAAAGCGGTTAATAGTCATTGGAGATGCCACTATTAATAATTCATAGCTTAAAAAGTAATAAAGCTAAATAGTTGATTCTGGTTTCATTATTTTTACTTGAAGTTTGCTTTATATAATATATATGAATCTCATCACCTTTCGCACTCAGCCAGGAGTTTTGCATCTGGCACAGTTGCAACTGTATCTTGCTGCGAATGCTCCTCAGTGCAGCTGTCTTTGTTGTTGACATTGGATCATCATGGAGGGCTACATGCTACAGCCCATGTAGTACTTTGGCCTGCCTCACCACATTGTTCCACTCAGACCTAATGCTTTTCTTTTCCATGCTTGGATTCTCAGCTGCTGTATATCCCTCTCCACATCATCCATCTATCTAAGCCTTGGTCTGCCTTTGAGCCATTTTCCTCTAGGGTTTTGGTGGTGCACCCTTGTCACTCCTCTGTCATTTGGCATTCTTTCTAAATGTCCCGCCCAGCATAGCCTGTCCTTTTTTTATTTCTACTACTAATGTGGGATTTCTAATATAGCCTATACATTTCTTGGTTGGTTCGTATTCTCCTTCCATATTCATTCACTATTGGTCTGTATATTTTCAGGAGAGCTTTTCTTTACCATGTGTTTTATAGGTTTTCAGCCGTTTTTGTAAAGGTCCAAGTTTAACTTGCGTATGTAACAGCTAGTCTGATAACAGTTTAATTTATAGCTTTCTTTGTTTCTTTGGGGTTTTTTTTTTTTTTTTTTTTTGTTTATTTTTTTTTTTTTGATTTTTTTTTGACTGAAGTTTGCCTTTTTTTTGGGCGTTTTTTTTTTTTTTTTTTTTTTTTT